TWRRAWWAAAAATAATTTTTTTCSGAGKTTTATTTTGAGTTTTTGTTTTTGTGATAAGATAGTTATTAGCAACTAATCTTGACTGGATTAGATCTTATTTCCAAGGTTTGTTTATGTATTATGGGTATCGAATATCTAAGCTGTATAAGATTTATTATTCCTGAACTAGACTGTGTTTACACTTTTAYTGTATAAATAATTAAAGGATTTATCGCTAATAGTTCGATGATTTCCCATTTCGCTACACATAATTATGATTTTTGTCAATTTTTCACTGTCCAAATTTTTTTTGAATGTTAATGTTCCTTTGAATTAACATAAAGTACAAAGTGCAAGTTGGAAAGCACTCTATTTTTGATGCTTCTCTAGGCAACTATCAAGAACACTTTGACATTTTGATAAAAGTTCACTCAGATATGCATTTTTTTGCTTGTCACACTTGAAAAATGAGTCCAACCTTTCTTGAACTACTGTAACTTTGATTTGGTAAAAATCAGACGTGTTTTCAAAGAGATATGAATTATATCTTCCACAAGTGATAAAAGCTTTGTATTTCACCAGATACTGTTGTATCTTTATGTTTATCTTTCCACAATTAGCCAAAGTATTTCTAAATCTTATGTTAACAAAACTAAGTCGTTAACTGACAAGGTTAGAGAAGGTTGTACCAACAATACATTCCTTTGTTATTGTATTGATGATATGGCAAGAGAAAGCAGTGGAGTTTTCTTGTCATTGTTCAAACTTATTTCTTTTTAGTACAAGCTTTCACTATTACATAATTCTATGTGAACACATGCTTTGCCAAAGTGCTTACTTCAGATAATTCCTTCATATTACTGGTGTGTTTAATGTCATTCAAAGTTGATAATGCATTATGTTAATCAAATGGTCTTGTTTTGTTCCTACAGAATCCTACATAAATCATTCAATGTCTAATCATGTCCATGTGCTGTAGCTTTCTCTTTCTACTAGTATCAACCCTGAAACAACTTAATAACAAATTTCTACTAATATCTGAATAGTTTCATAATATTAATATTACATTCTATGTGGTTTTATGACTTTGAGATAATAAACACATGAAGCCTAAAAGGTACTTGTAGAAGTGACAATGGCCAGACACTGTGTATCAAGTCTCCAATAAACCACATGGCCTTTGATATATATATAATATGGCAGCAGGTATAAAGCTTTGACTCTTTCATTAGGAGGCAATTAGGAATATTTCATTGAAACACCTCACAAATTTTTCACAATGAGTGACTTTACACCTTATACCATGCATTGTCTAGATCCTTCTGAAAAACAATTAGTTTCAGGAAAAGAATGATCAAATAAAATTTAAATAAAGCTATTCTGAATGGAATTACTTTCTTTTTTCCCCCTACCTAAGAGAAGAATTATAAATTGACTGAATTTGCCATACTTTTAGATTCTTTAGTAAATGTTTTTACTAAAAYTTTAGAAAGTAAAATCTCATTCGAGATGACTTGTATATTAAGGGTGTTGTCAAAATATAAGCCATTTTTATGCAAGAAAGAGCACCAGCATTTATGCATGGCTGATAATATGGCCTATTGATTGTGATGTTCAAAAATACTAGTACCATTTTACAAACAATAACATAAGTTCAGAGTTCATGCTTCAYGCTAATAGCCTAAACCAATGCTGTTTAGTCTATCAGCAGTTTATTTCTATGTTTGCATTTATTACCACACCTTTCAGTGTTATCATCATGACCACTAGTGCAATATAAAATGTGAAGTTGTATTCAAAATAAGATATTTTTGTTTAAGTAAACCAAGAGAAGACTACTGGCTAGGATATTTTGACCTTAAGCAGTAGAAAAGTGTCTGGTTTCTGCAATAATTATTGAGCAATCTCTTGAAATATGTGAATGTAATATGATTTGTTTGTTTTGTACATATTCTTAGTCCATTTAGGTTGCAGTGCATGAAAACCTTAATGTAGTCAAAGATAATATCTGTAGTTTAATTTTCTTAACATACAATACATGTACATTATACACTTTCTAGGAATTGACTTGAAAGTAATTATMAATGATCTTGACTTTAGCATAAACAAGACTATGTCATGGAACAATAACTCTTTTATGTATATTATACTTTCAGAGGTATAAAAGTGCCCCTATTAAAAAGGGAGGCTGYTAGAGCTCTGGATGTGAATTTCTTTGAAAGCTTAATTTGTACAAAATTKCTTTTGCTCAGAAAGCTTGACTCAAATGCTATCAGATTTCAGAAATTGTTAGGAATTCAACTTGAAGTTTTCATGGACATATATCTAGAAGAAACTTTGTGGTCAGAAATGAAAACAAGAGGCTTGACTCATAATAATAGTGTTGAAAAGGAKTAAACAAATATTGCTAAATAGTACAAAATAGTGTAGATTTAGACAATAAAAAACTAAGGAAATTGAGTATGATTTAGGAATATTTAATTCGAGTCAACTAAAAAAAAAACCCTCTGAAATAGGGGTTAGACTGCCCTATAAGCAGCGTTTACACGAGCAATTTTTCCTTGACAAGTTTTCCTTGACATAGTAAAACTTGTCAAGGATAAAATGCTCGTGTAAAYGGTACTTTAGACTGCTCTAAATGCATTTGTGTTCTTTGTGTTAATTTGACTATCACACTTTTAATAGTGAAGAAGTGAAGACTGTTTTGTTTCACACATTTAATGACACTTAAATTTTTTCATAGTTTTAGTGTTTATACTCTACTATAACATTTTATAATTTGTAATTGAAAACCATTGTATTTATAAAAGTTATTGATCTTGCAGAATTTTGGATGTGTTTCATATTCCTATGGTATTGATGAAAGAGATTCACCTCAACTTAGTTTTCGAGCACGTGGAACAAGATTTAGCAGCTTATATAGATGACTGCCCTCCTCCTGGAATTAGTGAATGGAAAGCTAAAGTAAGGGAATATTAATTAAAAATAAGGTAGTTGTAAAAGTTGAATAAATCATAATCCAGCAGGTTATCTTTGCCATGAGTTACTCTTGTACAACAGGTCCAGAAGTGGAAAGCTTCCTCAAATAACTACTTGATTTTATGATAGTAAATAAAGACAAATCACATCATGCAAATAAGTATTACCCTCTAAGGAATAACCAAAATTGATTCAGTGCTTATAATTAAAATAATATAATTAAGAAATGAAACTGGATATATGCACTTTAATGAACAGTTTGATATGATATTTTACCAGATAAATGTAAAATCCATTTGTTTGCTTAGCATTATTTTCTGACAAAATATTTCACCTGCAACGTTATCAAAATGAAAATTAACACTAACCTATAAAAGCTACATGCCAGAAAATGACTAAGGACCAATTTTAAATATTTATAGAACTTAAACACTTCTTTTCTGACATTCAGGATATCTCATACCAGTTACTAAATGGTGTTGACTTTCTGCATACTCATCGCATTGTTCATCGCGACCTTAAACCTCAGAACATATTAATTACTGGAGATGGACAAGTTAAAATTGCTGATTTTGGACTAGCTAGAGTTTACAAAGATGCCATGGCTCTGACATCAGTGGTAAGGAAAATATTGTGTTGACTCATATCAAAGATTTTTAACATGACTAAGATTGTTAATACTGTTATTAGGGTAATCATTGTTGTAGTTTTATCATTTTAATAATTACTTTGTTCTTATATATTGTTACATTGATAATAATTTTACGCTTATTTTATTCAATATCCTGTTCAAGTCTTAACCTGCAGGAATTCTATCATGTCTCAGCAACCTTGCTTTTAATATTATAAGATAATTTTTAACCTTACCAAGAAATGCCTTTAGGACAAAACCTATCTAGACATAAGTCACTCTCTAAGGGGAACTATTACACGTATTGGGGCTGTCATACCAACAAAAAAACTAATTATAGTATTCATTCTTCTTATCCTGTAACTGACACTAAAGAATTTGAGAAACCCTAACCATTAATTTCTAATTTACTGAAAAAGATATTTCAAAGACTTCATCTTTCTGATGGTAGATTAAAATTCTTACAGGTTGTCACCCTGTGGTATCGCGCTCCTGAAGTCCTCCTTCAGTGTAGCTATGCTACAGCTGTTGATATTTGGAGTGTAGCATGTATAATGGCCGAATTGTACAACAGATCACCTTTATTTGAAGGGAAATCTGAGATGAATCAGCTTGCAAAAATATTTAGGTATGTTTTTATTTGTTTATTTGACTTGGGTGGTGAAATAACCCCAAACACTTCTGTTTTCTTTCTGTCATGGCTACATACTTGTTATCAATAACCAATGCTTTGGGTCATATGTCTATGCAGAGCAATAAAGAATTGTCCTAAGAAGCATTGATGTTTTTTTTTTCATGTGAAATATCACATGATATTTTATCTTTTTCTAGTGTGATAGGATTACCACCTCAAGAGGAGTGGCCACAAGGAGTTTCAGTACCATGGACGTCTTTTCACAATTATAATGCAGAACCCTTAGAGAACATTATTTATGAAATGTGTCCAGATGGAATAGACTTACTGAAGGTTAGAGGAGGATTTTGGAAAAAAAAAATATTTTCAATTACTGTTGTCTTTTTTATAATATTTTCAATAAGCTGTAAGCATATTTCTTGTATTTGAATGTGGAAGTACACAGTTTATAGACAATACAGCAATCTTCAAAACAAACAAACAAACTATATATATATCCACCAAAAAATGCAGACATTTTCAATGTCATTAAGATTGACAAAAAAAGAAACTGTTGTCATATCATTTCATCAAGAGTAATCTACAGCAGACTACAGGCTTATTTGAAATAGTAATTGTTTTGGACAAATAACAATAAATGCACTTTATGCTTCAGTGAATCATGACATGTATCTGTACCATCATTTTGAAGCACACTCAAATTGGCTAAAAATTTACATTGAATTATAGGCTTGAAAAATGCACATCCACATTATATACATGTAAAAGTAATTTCATTTAGAAAAGCTTCATTTAGATTTTATTTGACCATTCTTTTCCAGCAACTCTGAATTGTTTTTCAGAAGGTGCTAGACAATGCACAATGTGTAGGGTGTATAGGACGCAAAACTTTTGCATGTGAAGTTTTATGAACATAATATTTGCCGTGCTTTTTATAAATAAATGTATTTGCTAAAATTTAATCATAACCAATTTATAAAATCCAAACTGACATGATTCATTGAAGATGGCTTGCCTAAGAATATTAAGGGTGCTGTTGCAAAAAAAATTTCTGGTTTAGCAAAATTAAGATTTTTACAAGTATGATACATTAATTTATAGACTGAAAAAATGCACACATTACAACTTCAACAGTGTAACAATAAATATATAAAATTGCCTAACATTAAATTACTCCTTTGTCTCCTTTTCTAGAAAATCCTAGTGTTTCAGGGCAAGGACAGACCATCAGCTTGTGAAGCCATGCAGCACAAATTCTTCCATGAATTCAATCAAGATAACGACAAAGAAAATTCCCAAAGCAACTCCAACACATCAAATCAACATTAAGACGAAGAGTGTGTGTAATAACCATTGGGATTTACAAGTCAGTAAGATAAAAATGAGTGGAGCTTTTAGTGTCATATTGACGTGAAAAGACTCTTTTTCATGAACCTGTGAAGCAGTTGGTGTATAAATCTAGTTGAATTCAACCATAAGAAAACAGAAGAGAATACTAAACTCACKCCAAATGTTTCAGGGGATTATGAAAACCACTCCAACCTGATAGTTTGATTAAAGTGTGTGCTGTATCATGGTAGAGATATATTTAACATAGCACAACACTTGCACCAATCAAAGGTGTTTAGTAAAGTACAATTAATATGAAGTATATATTTAAATCAAATGTTTTTGAGTGAAAAATATCCTTTTTAATCTGTAACTGTTTCAGTTAGTGTAACTTCTTCTATTTATTTATAGCAATTGATTCAGTTAATGAGGTTTTAAACATCGATTTTTAGAAGACTTTTATTCTTGTTATTGTTCACTATAGTACTTCTTCTTCGTGACGAAGCATTTTTAAACAATTGTTACAGTGTTGCCATTGTATATTTCATTGGCTCATTGTGTTCTAGGAGTCTTTATGTTGATAAACATTTTAATTTCTTTTAAATTTTAGACTCATTATTTTATTACAGTGATTTACCTTCTTGTGGCCACCATTCAGATTCTACAATGACTTTGTTTTGTAGACTGTTGACTGTTAGTTCATTGCATAGAAAAACCACTAATCAAACTCCTTGAAAACTTCAACCTTCATGAATTAAGTATATTTTTAGAAATAAAAAACCTCCTTTCATGGCCGAACATGCAGTTTCAAATAAACTGGCAAACTTGTAGGAACCTTTGCTTGGGTGGCCACATTTTAAGGTGCATTGGGCTGTAATATCAAAGCTGTTGTTGTTTTTACTTTTACTAAAGGATTTTTCATTTTTCACTGAAATTGGACCTTCAAGCTTCTTGGAAACCAAGAATATAGTAACTGAACATTCTGTTCAGATAATATTTAGACAAAATATGATATTGTTAGTGTTTAATTGCATATATTTTATAAAGTTGTCTCTGTTAAAGGTTGTAGAGAGGTAACATTTAAGAACATCATGGGTCAGTTGGATGTCATATTGGCAGAAAAGCTACAAAGTTACACAAGCATCTTAAAAACAATGTTCATGATAYGAGTCGGAATATCTTTTCACAAAGAACAACTTTCTAACAATAAATGCATTGAATAAAATTTTAAGTTCAGTGATTATAGTATAATATAATATATTAAATGAATTTGTGTTGACTTGACTGTACACTACAAAAGTCATAGTACATGTACTTGTATTCTCATTAATGTTTCATTTTTTAAGTGATAACAAACAAAACTGCGAGGCTGTTGCTATACACCCCATGTGGCGGTTTTACAGTAGACATGTGATTTTACTGCAACTGCAGTAAGGTCCCTAGGGTGTTTATAGTGACTTTGGTAGGAAGTAAGAGTTTTTTTGCAGTTTATGTGGTGTGTAAGTTAGTGAGGAAAGAAACCTCTTTTGTATCAAAAGTGTGAACAATTGTACACTCAGATTGTGTGACTGGAATAATTATTCCATAATTTTSAAAACTGTAGACTTCAAATCAAGTGTGTAAACAATATTGAATAAGTTTGAAATAAAAATAAAAATGTTGACAATCTTTTCAAATCTGATTTGGTGACTACTGGGAATCTCTCATGATGTGCAAATGATGACAATGATAATAAACAGAGTTTGCTGTAAGGTRCAATGTCCTCAAGACTATTTTTATTTTTAGCTGATTCAACCTTGATCTGATGGAGTGGGTGTTCACTTGTCTTATGATCAAATTCAACTTGTCATATTTTCTTGACCTTGCTTATGTTTAATTCATTATCATGTAATTTGCATGAATTACAAGTTAATACTATTAACATAATTTAGATCATGCATTACAAAATTCTACAAATTGGTTTTAAGAATATTCTATCCATTGATAAATCATTCAAAGTGTAGGACATTTATCACTGCCAAGMAATTGATCAATTTTTTAAGAAATAWTGATCGCATGTCATTCAGCAACATGCATAAAATTCCTACAAGCCAAAGGAACAAAAACACAGTATGAAGCATTAACCCTAAGCCTTTGATATAAAAATTATCACTACACATTTCCTGAAGTCCCCCATAGTGACAAAATAAAGTAATATTACATAATTTAAGCATAAAACCAACCTTAAATAAAAAAAGATTCTTGTTTACAACTCCACAAAGTAAACACAGATAGGTGTGAACATAATCCATTGACCAGTCATTATGTAAAATCAGTGAAATACCGTTCTTTGGCTAATGATTAATTTGAGCGATAGTTTGTTTTCTATTCCTGTAGACTAAACTTGCATGTATAATTAAAAATACTTATTATTGATGTCAAAAGTATGAATTAATGTTATTGATAATCTGTGTCTTTGACGTCTGTATAAAGCCTTGTTTACAAGAATGAAGGTGTAATTTGTCTTTATGTTTAATGCAGTTTGTTATATTATTTAGTGAATGTTCATATGCATTTTTCTTGCTTAGGAAAGTGGAGTCTAATTTTTTAGTTCTTGTTTATTTTGTAACATTAATACCTGTTTTGTCTTCTGTTCCATCATCAATGACTTGGCTACATTTTTCATCTTCCTTGAATTTCTCTTTGTCTTCAGTTTTTGTCTGTCCCTCTTCAGTTTTATTTGAGATATCTGAACTGCATTTATTGTTCCCCAATTCAGTTTCATCTGGAGGTTTGGTCAACTTATCTTGAGAGCATTTCTGTATCTCTTGAATATTGTATTTCTTAAGTTTATAAAAATCTTTCACAACACTGAGACAACATATCGTCTACATAAGCAAAAGAAAAAATATATATATCATTATTAGAAATTGGATCATAAAATTTTATAACAAAATGTATCATCTATTATCAAGACTGGGCAAATAAATTGCCTTTCCAGACAGTACAATTTAATAAAGCTGTGCTTGAAATAGGGAAGGTCAACAGACACAATCTAGTCACAAAAATCATGCTTAACTGTTAGCCCTTAATTTTAAAGCATCAAACTGGTTATTGGAAAGGTTTACAGCGTTGTAATATTGCTGGAAACTGAAAGACACATTTTCACAAGATGACTGCTATTGCAACTGGAGTTTTAAAATGTGTCAACACTTTTGTTGTCAAGTTCAGTAACAGACTTTAGKGTTAGTACACTCAAATGCACTAGAAAAWTTTTTTGAAGATGCAGTATTCATATTCATTGCCCATTCTAATATTTTAGTCACATCTCAGAAGCCCAAGTCATTTTTAGARATTTATTTCTGGAAAACGTCTTGCCACAACTATTGATTTCCCACAGGTAAAATTTGACTTGACCAGGCAATTAATCCAAAAGTTATTTTCCAACATGAATGGCTACCTTGCAGGAGTTTTGTCAGCCTTTACCTGACTCCCTATCCCACAAAAGGATTCCATTGGTTCTACAGTAAATAAGATGTCTACCAATGTACTGCCAATAGAAATAATTACTGTAATGCGATGTGAAACAACTACTCACCCTTACAATCTCAACACATATTGTTAAATCTGGATGACGTAAATCCACGCTGTGATCCATACCAGAATGCAACACTATCTGTGCCAAAGCAGCTATGACATCATCACGGTGTATACTATCATTGTTCCTTGATTTATAAACTACACAGAACTACAATGAACACAGTCAATACATCAATATCATTATTATTATTAAAGTCATTTTATTTTATTTTATTATTTTTTTTGAGAGGGGAAGTTGAAGGTCAAAGTCAAACAATGTCTTTCTAACCTTTTAGCCTGTCACTAAGTAAGGTCACGCTGTCTAAGCTCATTCCTTTCCAACCTCTATTTAAAAGGCCAGTTATTGTATATTGGCAATTACCTTGCATGGCTTTGCATCAGAAGCTAGAAATGATTCTCTGAACAGGTTTTCTGCAGTACTTTCAATTTCCTTCATGCTTGCATAGCAAGTTGTACTTACTGGAAGGCATCGCATGCAATCTCTGTAAAAAACAATTACACTTAATTAGAAATAAAGAAAACAGTTGTGTTGTACTTGTAAAGTTAACATTTGGGTATCCTGTGTTATTCTGACACAGGGTACCCACAATTGTAGGTGTCTTACCTGGACTTATTCAAGCCATTTTCTAGTATATCAGATAACATTGTGTGAACCAGCTCATTTGGATTTTCATCATTTGGTAAGGCAGTTTTAATGAAGAGAACATTTTTAGCACCACACTTCACTGACTGGAATCGTTGAAAATCACGTTTCATCTGTTGCTTTTCTTTATCTATTGCTTTTTCAATGTCATCTTCTTCACTTGAGGAATTGCAATCATCAGTTACTGTTTTTACTTCCTTGCCATAGATTTTATCAGCATACTAGAGACAAAATGTGTAATGTTACCCTGGTCCCAGAGGTTCAATTTTCTTCACTCTTTGCTAGTATAACTTTACACCAACCAAAACAACTATAGGGAAGAGTGAAAAAATCGAACCTGTGGGACCAGGGTGGTGTAAGGTTTACATAACGATCTTCGATTTGTATACCCTGCGAGCAGAGTGTATTTCCTTTAATTGAGGTAAGGAAATACACTCTGCTCGCAGGGTACGATTTGTAATATATTTGCGAATATATTGCAGTACACGTGATAGAAATCTGCAAAAAAAGTTTACACTAAAACACGGAATCCTTACTTCGTTAAGGAGGTTGTAAGCTTCTCTTACACTGTGTCGCTCTTTCTTTTCGTTGCACGTTATTAAAACTCCTCKCATTCCTGCAGCGAGATTATACTCCACTCGACGCTGTAAAGCAGGAAATGATGCATTAATTCGTAAGACAATATGCTTATAAAAGAAGAAGATGCTTGATCGTAAATACCTTCTTATTACTAGAGACATAGCGATTCTTTTTTAGCCGTTTTCTAATGTCTYGATATTCCTCCATTTTGTTTGAGAACATGTGAGTTTCTTTGGTAAACCGCTGGCTCGAAAAGGCTCGGAAAATTCAAAATGTGGCGGGAAGCGACAGTGCAGGGAGCCCATCACACAACTTTGACAGCGACGTTTATGTGTTGACTGTTGCTGGCTCGCTAGCCCGGTTCAACGTGCTCGTTTCCTTTGTTTACTTTTCTCTGGAATGGGGAACACAAAACAACGGAAATCAGCCCGGTCCACCGGGTCAGCATACTAATATAATCAGACTCTAGTCTTTAATCAGTGTCTCTATTATAAAAGGCGAGTCCAGCGAGTCGGTTCATAAACAGTGACGTTTAAAGGTAAGCTATATAGCTGGTCTTTAAAARGAAATCTTTTCGCCCAAAACAACACTCTGACTTTATTCGTTTTGCCATGATGCAGCTTTTAGACAAATAACGGTAATTGATTTCCAGTCACGCAAACATGAAACTTTTCGATTTTAGCTGTAACTACGTCATGAATTTGCATCAACGCAAACGAATGAAGCATTTGAAACACTTTTAATTGCGTGTTGTGGATGATACAATTTCATTTGTTTGTTTCTTTATTTTTTCCTAACCAAAGCACGTGATACGTGCATGATATTCATTGACGACCATTGACCGCTGTTCACGCAATGTAGGTTCTTTCACGCTTTGATACCATTGACTTTATCTCCCAAGGAAGGGGGATTCCGGGATTGAAAACCCCCTCGCACACACCTATGATTGGTTGCATAATTCAAGGTTACATAATTTAAGGTTTACACAATTCAGTTGTACCACATTATCTTCAAATTTAGAACTTCAATAACCGTGCGTGTGGAACCTCGGTATCCCCCGCCGATCGAACACCGAATAGTGGCCGTATTAACGAGTGTCGTATCTAAATCGGCTGCAAAAGCAGGCGCGTAGCGTGGACGTTTTGGCAAGTATAGTACGCACATGTCAGGTACCGTGGCACATATTTTCGGGATATTTTGGATCTGGGGGTCTAACGACCGCCAAAGGCGGGAGTACTAAGGGAGTATGGACCTCCCCCAGGAAAATTTGAAATAATAACCCTTGGAATTGCGATTTCCAGCGTCAGTATGTGAATTTGTCAGTAATTTCTTTTTTAATTTTAATGTTTCCTTGCCACTAGTACGCACGTGCGTATATGCGTAAAGACGTTACGCGCCTGAAAATTAGCCGAAATTTTAGTTTTTGAACCTCTAAATTTGACCTTTATTACGCAATGGGCTGATAGTAAGCCGGTGTTCCAATATCTTTCATGAGGGRGAGATCAACCCCATTAATCCCTTGAAATCGAGAGAGACCGGGAATGGTTGGGTCGGTCGACGTCATAACTACCGTCATACTATTGGAGTTGATGCGTATCGTGGTTGTCAGAGAAAGTCGTGTCCTGGTCAAATTCTTCACAAATTGGCCAAAACATGGACAGCTCGGACCCAGAACCTGTATCTAATGGACCAATATTCCCAGCAAATAATTGCACACTTGGTGTTTGTAGTGGTAGCGTCTGCTTATGCGGCAATGGCTTCGATGAGGATGAAGACTTCCCCGAAGAAGCGCCATTAATTTCGTACCAGTCTGTGCCTTACAACGACACTTACTATACGGATGTTCATTGCCATGAGTTTAGACCAATTTTTACCAACAGAAACGCAAGGAAAAAACTTACCATAGCAAGTATCGTTTGTTTGTTTTTCGTCATTGCTGAAGTTATTGGTAAGCGAGGGATCGATTCCACATGCATAACTTAAAGGTTTTTGTATGAAAAGACGTCCTACTGCCTGTAAAAGGAGTTTCCAACGGAACGCTTGCACTTTTTGATACTATAGATGACCTTTTGTTTCTCTACCCTCCTGTGGATGTAGAGTCCTTTTACAATAAGTAACTTTTTGCTACATGCTAGAACATGAATACAACGTGAGCTCAGCTGTAGAAACCGGAGCTGAAATCAAACACGATTTGATCTCTATAACTTAAGTTTAAAATTGTTATAATTGGAAATGTGTGTATACACAAAAGACTCTGAACTTTGCTTCTAAACRACSKCTTAGCAATACAAAAATGCAAGACTTGAGAATTGTGACCATTTTAAGTAATAGATAAAATATGAGCGGGAGACCTTTATGGGCATTTAAAACGGCGAGCCACAGGCGAGATGTTTTGTTTATATGGAGTCATTTCTTTAAGTCACTTTTTCCCCATTGATTCTGATTTCAGATCTTACAATGATCTGATTGTTTTAGCAATTAAAATTTGTTTAATGTTATCAAAGCCTTATCGATCAATTGCATTTATATCTTGAATTAAGTATTTATAATTCTTTTTTAATAGATAAGATACTGTATACTTTATAAGAGTCATTAATATTGGTGTTGGCAAACATACAGTATTGTCCACTGAGTTGTGGAGTCAGCTGATGACAAAAGAGAATCTAAGCTTTTGAAATAAGTGTTTGAGTATCAGTACTAGTATGAAAATATCAAATTGTTCTTGTGTTTAAAGGTGATGCTGCATGTAAAAATATTAAAACATTGAATGAGCAAAAATCAGGATGTTTATACCAAAAACACCAATGTTGATACTATTTTTAATTAATCTATTATTCATTGTCAAAACTATAATCCCCAATATTACATGTAGGTCTTGGCCATGAAATTAAGTATACAGTTAGTACAAGTTTAAAAGTCTACTGTTCTTTATTCTAGGTGGCTATCTGGCTCACAGTTTGGCAATTATGACAGATGCTGCTCATATGTTATCTGATTTTGCTGCATTTCTTATTAGTTTATTTGCAATTTGGGTTGCAAAGTGGCAACCTGATAAGAAAAGAACATTTGGTTATTATAGAGCAGGTAAGTTATGGTTGATTTTAGTGTGTAATGCTCAGAATCAGGCTGGAGCTTGGGCTGGAAATTCAGGGACTTTGGTTTCAACATAAGCCATAGGAAATTKTTTTTTAAATCAACATGGATTAGCTTACTCATTTGGGCACAAAATCAATTGGTAAAGTAAAAAAAAGGAAAAAAATGCTCTTTTGACACTAAAAATTTCCGATAGTGAAAATTGCACTTTTTTATTGCATTTTATTTTTTCCTACAAAATACTTGATTCAAGCAAGTAAAACACTGTTTCTGATAAAATTCAGTCAAAAGTGCACTATTTTCCCAAAAGTCCCAGTATTCAAGAGTTTATAATGTGTGCATATTATTTCATCATTAATTTTGTTGATTATCTATTATAGAGGTGCTTGGTGCTTTGGTATCAGTTCTCATYATCTGGGTTCTCACGGGAGTTCTTGTCTACCTTGCAGTCCAGCGAGTAATTACAATGGATTTTGATATTGATGCCGACATTATGATTATTACAGCTGGAGTGGCTCTTGCTATCAATATTTTGTATGTATAGATGCGTGTACCATACATAATAAATGCTATGAAGGTCTGAACAAG